GATGTATCCGAATTTTTTGAAGACATTTCCGAAGCTCTAATGTTTCTTAGCCACCTTGATGAACCAAAGATTTTCCTTAATAATAAAACTATATTAAAAAATTTCAAATTAAACATTGATAATCATATAAGACTAGCTGAAACTACCGAAATTTTAGGAGAAGATTCCCAGAAACACTGGTACAAAAATAAAATCGAAGCAAAATTAAATATAATAAATCCTTTTATAACTATAAAAATACAAGATAATCCTCATACCTTAGATGATCAGGAAGAATTCCAAAAACAAATCAAAGAACTTTTATTGCTAAAAGTAATACGAAAAAGCAATAATAGACATAGGAGTCCAGCCTTTATGGTTATAAATCATATTGAAATAAAAGAGGAAAAACTCGTATGGTTATAAATTATAAAAGATTAAATGATAATACTTATGATGACAGTTATAAAATCCCTAATAAAGATGTTTTAATAAACCGAATCTAAGATAAAAAATGGTTTTCTAAATTTGACTGTAAATCAGAATTTTGGCAAATCCGTATGGCTGATGAATCTATTGAATAGACAACGTTCACATGTCCTAAAGGACATTATGTGTGGTTTGTCATGCCTTTTAGATTAAAAAATGCATCACAAGAATTTCAACGAAAAATGGATACTATATTCAATAAACATTCAAAGTTCTGTTGTGTTTACATAGACGATATTTTAGTTTTTAGTCAAACTAAAGAAGAGCAGAGAAAACATCTTGAGATTATTTTCAACGAATTTATAACACAGGGACTCATTATAAGTAGTAAAAAGATGATACTAGAAAAACAAGACATTGAATTTTTAGATTTATACATAAAGGACATAAAAATAGAATTACAATCTCATATTGTCAAAAAGATTTTAGATTTTCCTGATAAATCAGAAGAAACCAAGTTGTTACAAGCATTTTTAGGAGTATTAAGCTATGGTCGTAATTTTATTCCTAAATTAGGACAGTTAGTAGGACCATTGTATTCAAAGTTGGGTAAACATGGTCAAAAATATTTTAATACGCAATATATAAAGCTAGTTAAGAAAATTAAATTTCTATTCACTCAGTTAGAACCTTTACAACTCCCACTTGAAAATAGTTATAAAATAGTCCAAACAGACACATCAGCTTAAGAATGGTCAGGTTTACTTCTTCAAAGACCTACAAAAGAATCTTTTCGAGATGAAGAACAAATTTGTCACCATGCTAGTGGAACTTTTAATAAAGCATAATCTACTTTACCCTCTACCGATCTAAAAATTCTCGGAGTAACCAACTATATAGAAAAATTTGAGATATTTCTTGATAAAGAATTTCTTATAAGAACATATTGTGATAACATAGTTAAATTTGCAAACAAAGCAAAGCAACAGCAGATGTCTGCAAAAAGATGGATTTTCTTTATTGACTATATTACTGTAAGAGGTTTTAAACCCATATTTGAACATGTTAAAGGAAAAGACAATTATTTAGCAGATATTCTAACCCGTTTACTAATTGATTGTTAAATTTTGCAGGAATGGAAATCAAGAGCAACAACAATTATAGCCTTATACCAGACACTTCTAATCCTATTTTGATTATCCAAAACCCAGCTCAACAGTTTCGCACTAGACATAATCTTTTTCTTGACCAAAAACTTATTTTAAATAATATTTGGTTTTCTAGAAACAATCTCGATAAAACCCTCGTCAGAAATCTAAATACTTTAAGTGAATATTTTGTATCATCCAATAAAGCATATAAGAATTTACAGCAAGAACATGAGACACTTATATCTCATTATAAAAAGATAAATTTAGCTTATCAAAAAACGACAGCAAACCCCACAGAACTAACTATTTCTGAGCAAAGGACTGATGAAGATGAAAATCTTCAGAAAGTTCCATTCTTGTAGATACAAACCAAGTATGCCAGGTTATTACACATATTCTCTCCAACCTACAGAGAAGTCTTGAAACAACAAGTTGAACTTTTTCTTGATAACCTCAAGGATCTTATCCTTGAAAAAGTCAAGTCTGATGGTATTAAGGAATGGGTTGATATCCAAAACTACCTCATAAACAATAGTCCACCCAAAGGAACCTGTTATAACTATTTTTTCCTAAGATTTATAAAGACAGGAAAGTCCATACCTATGCCCATTATTTTGTTAGATATAGATATTGTTTTCTTCTATCCTTTTGAAATAACTAGAAAAACCCTTTTCTTTACAAAAATGACCATCTGTTATTTAAGCAAGCTGTTAGAATTAGGAATGATCTATACCATCACCATACCAAAAGATATGTCATTAGAATATCTAAATTCTTTAGGTAATTTTCCCAACCGTTTAAACCAAGTCATTGCCTTCGAACAAAACTAACCCAAAACTTCAGGCCAGAAATCCAATCCTCCTTCAAATCCACAATATTCTCCCGGAATGGGTAAAGGATGGAGCTATAATTCTGGGACAGCATCGAATTTACATTCATTCTGATCCCACAGAAGTTAAAGTTTTTACTCAACATATTGATTTTATAAATAGCTTTCGTAATGAGATAGAACCAGACCTTTAACCATTTGATGTACTATAAAGCCTATAATCGAGTTAACTTAAGCTACAACCCTGATTTCAGACTTTATGACCATAATATTAACATAGAAATTTTTGTCCAAGCAAGAATTTCTCATGTCATTAAGCCTCCTCCAGAGATTGAAATATCTCCAGAAGTTGAAGAAATAATAAATGAAGAAAAAATGTTGCTGGAACAGTTCGACCTCGCCTATAGAAATGAAGAAACCAGCTCACCGGACAACACTGATGAATATTTGGCACGCGTACACAGAAGGGACAGCCCACCAGATAGTGTTTCTGATAGAAATTTGTCCAATATGCAAGAATTCTAAAGAAAAAGTAGATTCTCCACATCCACAGTATAAAGATAAAGACAGCTTATGCAATCAAGAAAAGTAGATTTCCAACAGTGTACAGATAAAAGCAATTCCACCGAAAGCAGATTCCCAACAGTAAAAGTAAATCAGATTCTTCAAAAGCCGACATCAACAGTCTAGCAATAATGCAGGCCATCTTATCTCTAAAGCATCCTACATCTCAACCATCTATGCAGCATCTTTAATCTCAACCGAAGATTCATCTCTCCCCTTTCCCATAAGAGGAGCTTCTCTTCTCAAGCAAGGACCATCAAGTTTTAGAGCAATCAAGTCTAGAACCATCTAGCATTTTCAGCTTTCAGTTTCTAGTGTGTTTTCTTTTGTGACTTCTTTCAGTTTCCTTTGTATAATAGTGTGTGAGAGTGCAACCATGTATAAACAGTGTGTATCCATGTATATATTTTTCGCGAAATAAATTATTCAGTTTGCTCCTGTTAAAATTTGTTTTTTTCCTTTTCTTTATCTAGTATTTTCAGTACTTTCGGGCAAAAGACTTCTGTCGACAAAAAGATCTAATATATAGATTTTATTTAGTCAAACAGTGTAGATCATAAAATTTTCTTGAATCCAACCAGTACAAGCAGTCTTAGTATTAAATTAGCAATTTCTTCTGTGAATTGACTCGAACTGTTGGCTTGTTGGCCCGTTCTTGCTAGTGTTCAGGCATTTTTACAGGGCGTTATCAGAGCATTATCAGGTTCGGCAGTCGTTTCTATGATTTAATTGTTAAATTTATTCTATGTTATTTTCCATGCTTCTATTTGGTTAGATCCAACTTCATTTTGGTATCGAAGTCTATACTATTTCGTTAAATTTAATTTATATATAAGATCTTTTGTCTAAAGAAGTTTTTTTCAAAGACCTTTCAGATAGCTTATTTTATGTTTTAAAGCCTTTATGATACAATCATATATTCTGTTGAGTCAAAGTGACAATATAACTTGTTGTGTGGTCTAAAGTAGAATAACTTTCCATTTTAGAGAAATAATTGTGTGATCTTTTCATTTGTAAGAAAAAGTTTGAGTGGTCCCTTCATTTTATTGATAAATCAAGAAATTGACATCATTGTGGTAATATTTGAGCCTTAAGCCCATGTATTGGTAAAAATCCCTTTAAACTATCCCCTCTTTTGGCCTATAAATTACGTAAATCTATAAAAGGAATTCTGATTAAAGAAATATTCCTCTGTTATGTTCGGATGTATAGAATTTGTGTCTTAAAATTACAATTGAAAAAATATTAGCTCAAATTGTAAACCATTTGTTTTCTCCAATTTTAATCTAAAAGACCAATTTCATACAACCGAGCATAACATTCTTACATCAGCATCAAAACCACTGCAGTAGCCAATTGTAGAACTGATAAGAAGTAACCATTGAGGAAGATAGGTTTGCTTATTCATTAAAGGCTTGAAAAAGCAATGCAATTAAAAGAGTACTTTGACATTGCAGGGTCTAAAAGAGTCAAATATACGCAACCTTACCTCCACATGCAAAAATTGTTGCCGATTTCGAACCATGACCTCCACATCACAATGTAGCAAACTTACCATTGCGCACCCTCGTGCATATATCTTGATACAGTAATTCCCATGAATAATATGAACGAGTCTGGAAAGATATTAACTGCTGCTGCACTAAAGCTTGTCAAGTGAGTTTTCTGTAACTTCCAACAAACGAACTGAGTTTTCTTCCTCAGCACATTTAGGATATATGTTGGTTCTAGAAACATTTTAAGAGAAAAGTATCTAAAGCTACACTTCACAGCAAACAATACCAACTACAATAAGCTTCATCCATGCTCCAATTGAAGAAGAGCCAAGGATGTCAGCTTCTATGCATCTTATTCAAACAAGCAAAGTTAAAAAAAGAAATGCATTTTATTCGCCATGATACGAGTAAATACGAGACCGTATATATTAAAAAAAAAAAAAACAAGAATACAAATAATCAAAGATATGCCTATCCAGACTCGTGATAATATTACTTCCTCATAAGAATGATACTCAGCTATTTGCCAGACATCCTACCACAATTCAATAATTACATTACTAAACTCGCTTAAATTAGATCAAAAAAAGAGAAATTCGTGTACAACTTAATATATTCAATCCATAACCATATTAGTTCTACGTATTGCATTGTTTGTTAAATCCACAATGACATAGTTACATTCTTCCATAGCTGCATTAAATTTGGCTAGGTAAGTTCTTTGGGTCTGTTCCCAAGTGCAATAATCAAATTTAAACACTAAACCAGACAAGCTTGCAGTCCACCGCTATTACAGTAATCTTCGCATATTTGGAGCTTGAGCAACGAAACCGTCTTCAATAGGACCTGATTCCAAATTTACAAACTTAAAATATAAAAGAAGGCCAAATGTTTGGACATTGTATGGTCACATATGGCTTATAGTCAAATGTTTGGACATTGTATGGTCACATATGGCTTATAGTTATGTTTGTTTGTGTGTTTGTCTCTCTCGTTTTTAAGGATAATTATTATGAAGGTTATATAACACTTACAATGCTCGACAGTTCTTGTCGCCCAATAAGCAAGAAAGGTGATCCCAACTCAAGTGTGAAGATAATTAGCAGCCATCATCAGCTCCAAAGTTAATTCAGGTTCAATGTGAAACTCAGTTTCCTTTCCACTGGCAACGGACAATGAAACATATTAAAGACTCCCAAGTATGAAAAAAATCGAAGGGCTTAAAAAGAAATAACAATAGAAATAAATAAAAATAAACAAGGAAAGTAGTTACCCCAGACCATAATCATTCTTTTGTTTTTCCTTTTTTGGTCAAAACAAGCACGGTCATTCCATAATATCAGAAATGTTAGCAATCCAGTTCATTTAAAGAATGCATTTCAGTGCATTCACTGAAATTCTGGTTGGACACATTTGGGTTTCAATTGTTCCCAATAAATTCAGCAGTTACTTTAGGATTTCACCATTACATATAAGTATTTCTATTGGTAAAAGGTACAAAAGATTCAAGGCTTATATGCTTAATTCAATTATTTGAGTTTTTCCTGCACAGTTTCAGTGGTTTTTCATTTAGTGGGTAATCACAGAAGAATTCCTAAAGCTAGAAACACAGATGATGGAGAGTCCTCTCGATGATACATTTCAGATGAGCAATTCAACCAGGGTAAAAATGTCATTTATCAAAAGAGCAATCATCCATGCTTGATCTCACACAGACCCCAAAAAGCTAGACAGCCAACTCAAGGAAGACAGCACGTGAATCTATTCTTTCTGTAATTCCAAGCTAAAACAAATTTGTTTTCGTATTTCCACACAATTCCATAGCACAAATTATCTTTCAGGATCATCTAGAAAAAAGCATGCACTGCATATGTAAGGCCACCACCAGCAGGGAATAAAAAGATGGAGAGGGGAGGAGCGAGCGAGCAAGAGAGAGTGGGATGTGTAGATTATACTACATATAAGTTGCACTAGCTTAAGCAACTAACCAATTCTTTAAAGTCAAAAGATTTGGCTAAAGCACATAACAATTGCATTGACACGGAGTTGAGTGTCCCCGTGGAAACCGCTGAAAGATCACGTACGATGGGTACAAGAGTTTTTCACCTAACTTCACTCAATATTGGAATATAAATTTTCCGAGTGATCACCACAATGCTGTACAATCAAAAAAATTCAATTTCAGAATTCTTCAATATCAGAAGTTAGTGTGCTATGAATCACTTTGGTTTGTGGCAATGGTGTGGTGGGGTTGAACTTCTAATCCCCCCCTCTGCCCTTTTCAGATGTCATCATATCATCTCATGATCACAAACTTTACAAACAATAAATTCAGTTCTTTGATAATATTATACAGAACACTATTATTCACCCTGAATTTGAAAAAGTTAGTGGTATACAACGGGTCAGCCCTGGGTAACCGACAGGATTATTTGAGGGAGGAGCATTTGTCCGGTTGTTAAGATTGGGTTCCTACATTGAATCAAGCAAGATCAGATCGAGGATTATAAAATCCTACAAAATGAGTGAAAAAAAAACATAAAAACTATATTTTTAAATAAAGAATTATTAAAATAGACGGTGAACAGGTTTCAAACACATAAAAATAAAAAAAGAAATAGCTTTACATACATATGGAAGATGCATTTATAAACAAGTGCATGCAAGCAAATATGATAATCTAGCCCAGAAGGTAGAATTCTAAACGGCACGCAATTCACAAGTAGGGTCTTATATGGGAAAATCAAGGTTTACAAAATTACTATTTAATGAAAGGAATCAAGAAACATATACAAAATCTTAATGATATAAGCTATAATAATCAACATTCTTATATAATAATTTCAGGTATCATATATATATAATATATATATATATAGGAAAGTATCCTGAAATTCTATGGCATTATCCTATGATCCTCAATGATCATATGGCACGATGCTAAAACAACCCTGAACAATCCTATAGTAATTCTACCACAATCTAGGGCTGCAAGTTGGGTTGGCCCAACCCAGCCCAGTCCCAACTCAACCTCAACCCGAATTGGGTTGGGTTGGGCCAACCCGAATTGTATTCAACATGGGTTATGATCATAACCCAACCCGAATATTTTTGGACGGGTTGGGTCGAGTTGACGGGTTGAAAACTTTTTTTTTTTAATTTTTTTTGTTTTTGGAAATTTATATATATATATTATATATATTTTTTCCTTATATTATTATTAAAAACAAATTTTATATATATATATATATATATTATATTTTATTTAGGGCAAATCATTTTAGCTTTGCCCAATCGCCTCTCTCTCGCCTCTCTCTGAACTTGCCTCCCCCCCCTCTCTCTCTCTCTTTCTCTACAACAACTGCAAACTACAAAATCTACATGAATCAAAACTTCAAGCCCATATATTTCAGTTTCATCTATCTGTCTGCAACAATCAAAAGTTCAAAACCCATATCAGCATATCATTTCAGATTGTTCAAAAAATCAAAACCCAGATCTTTCAGTTTCCAAATCGGGTTCGCCGTTCCAGATCGGGTTCGCCGTTCGCCGTTCGCAAAGCTTCAACCGCTGTCTCTCAACTCTCAACCATTTCAGATCGTTCAAAAAATCAAAACCCAGATCTTTCAGTTTTCATCGCCCGCTGTTTCAGATCGGGTTCGCCGTTCGCCGTTCGCCGTTCGCAAGCTTCAACCGCTGTCTCTCAACTCTCAAGCTTGCCCCCCTCTTTCTCTCTGCAACTGCTAACTTTTTTTTTTTTTTGGTAAATCTGCAACTGCTAACTTGAATGTATGGGGACGGTAGAAAGAGAGAGAGAGAGAGAAAGAAGAGAGTGGAGAGAGAACGGAGAAAAAAAAAAAGGAAAATTTTTTTATTTTTTAATTTTTGGGTTGGGTTCAGGTTGAGCCCGAACCCAACCCGAATATGTTTGGGTTTTGACAAAATCCAACCCGAACATGAACCCGATTTGTAAACTTAAAGTCCAAATTTCAAATTTTCGGGTTGGGCTTGGGTTGGGTTGGGTTAACCCGCCCAAGTTGCAGCCCTACCACAATCCTACCCTACTAAGCTTTTTATCCAGATTGATTTGGTAAGTTTGGACCATAACATCACGATTTTGATAACCATATTAATAGTTAATACAACTTACTAAAACTGACTAGGAGGAACAAAATAGTATAATGGAGATAAAAGAAAGCCTTATATGGCACATCTAAAAGTAGTACCCACAAAATTATTATACCATAGCACAACAAAGTGAACAAACATGAATTTGAAATGGTGCCCACGCACCACATTTCTCATTATAAAGGCCTCCCTAAATCTTCATTATCATAACCCACACTTGGCCGTAAGAACAAGCACTCTAAAATTTGGCTCAACTCTAGTACAAACCTATTTGATGAAGTCGATAAGTAAAATTTTGTTACCCATGACAATATCACACGAAGATTTCAATTATTAATATGATTACTAGGGTACATTATATAATGGAATTTATCGATATCATCATTAATGCAATGTCAGTGGAAACAAATTTGGATCCACCTACTTATGGTCCCGTATAATCGTATGAAACATCAGTTTGGATGGAAGAGTTCCAACCATTTTATTTACAATTTCCTAAAATACTTTTTTGGCTTATTATTTTCATAGTGCCACTAAATCAGCATCCATTTTAAAAGAGTGATAGCATCCTACAAAATGGCAGAACAAATAAATTTAAGATAGCAGCTATTAAACAAACTTAATATGTATGAAGGATGTAAATTACCAATACAACTACATTAGTATGATGGCCTACCTAGACCTGAACGCTAGTTCCAGGAAGCCCACCTAGGTGAAGCAGGTCAAATTCACTAAATGATTGCCTTCTACACTCTTAAGAATGATTACTCATTTTAAACCGCACTGAGTTCATCCCACGTAAGACCGGTTTCTATATACATGTTTAGTAGTTGAAGGGCACCAACAATCCTCTTGTGGCCTCTTTTGGCATAGGAGTTGGTTTGTGTCGCCAACCTCTAGGTCTAGAGTTCGAGGATTGGTGGTGAGAGGAGAGGAAAAAAGTAAGTTGTTGAAGATTTGACCCTTTTAATTTTTTTAACATTTATTTACTTACTAAAAGAAAAAAAAAAAATGTACCGTTTATTTTTCTCTAACCCAAAAACAGGAGAGAGAGAGAGAGAGAGAGAGAGTTTAAACAGTTATTAGTAAACTCAAGTGAACTTTAACTTCAAATACATTATAAACTAAAACACGGGTATTAAGAAAAGGAACTAAAGAATAACAAAAAGTCAAAAGGTGGAGGATGTTAAAAAAATTCAAAAATCAAAATTCAAGGAGGACAAAAGCTACAATCTAGCAGGGGAAAAAATTTTAAATGCGTCTTTTATTATAAGCAAGAAAAATTCCCCCAACATCTGTTAATAGCAATTTTAAGCAGGTTTGGTTGAGAAGCATCCTTTTTTTCTATTAAAAAACTAAATTATTTTAAAGGCAATTACCATAATAAAGAAATATATATATATTTCCTTCAACAAGAGAAGATAAAATGTAATGATTAAAATTAAATTAAAATAACAAATGTAAAAGGTCCCCCACTCCCCAAAAAAAGGATAGAGTGTTTGACTACAAGAACAGCCTCCAAGTTTGTTAATGACGGAACTGACCCCCAGAAAAAAAAAAAAAAAACACCCAATATTCAAAGAAGTTCCAACCACTTAAAAGAATATAGAGTTCCCGTGTACTTCCTATCACCTTAACAACAAGTTAACAACTATATCAAAACCTTTCTTCTAACCTTGTCGAACTGAAAAGGAGTGTCGTCTATTTTGTTACTTGAACCACATAAACAACTTACAGAGCAAATGAAAATTTTGTTCTCTGTTAAAAGGCTGATCCAGATTCATTAGATAGCAGGCATAGAAATCAAGCTTAGAGATACCTCAAAAAGGACTTAAATGTCAAGTTGTTCGGAAATGCCATAATGGCAAGGAGTAAAGTTTGATTTTTCTACAGAGACAATCTAACTCCTTTAGAAGTGCAGGGCAAAAGACCATGATAATATAAAAGGTGCAACTTTCCAGAACTGAGACCACACCCCTGTATCATCTAAAAGATTCTGCTTTTTCCCCCAACTGAACCAAATAAAAGCCAAAACAATGATTTTCCTAACCAATTGCTCAATCCAAAAACCAGGAAAGAATAAAAGATGTAATACTGACCCAATGCAGCCTTATTCTGCTCACATACTAATAAGTCAAGACACTATGGAGTCAGCCCAACTGCAATATAGGTATAGCCTTGTAGGTGATTGGCAGGTTCTACTACATATTGGACATAATACAAATCAAAGGAAGACACTGTTTTAACTTTTACCACTCACCAATTATTACCTTTCCGAGACCTGGTAAAATTTTTTTTTTTCTTAGTTGGTATTTGGTACTCACACACATGCCTCTACTGAGGCTCGACCCCTGACCTCCCTTTGGGAAGTAGGGGCCTAGTACCGCTAGGACTCTGGCCTGTTGGTCCTAGACCTGGTATTGAGTGAGTGGATTACCTGAATGATACATCTCCCAATCAAACTGATGTTGGTCATTCTAATATCAAGATACAATGAATTTTCCAATCCACGGTTACACTGACCTTGGTTAAATAACTTGGATGATTTATCTAAGTTAATTCAAATTTATAAAGGGAAACAATTCAAGAAAAAAAAAAATCAGCATACCTATCATTCTCAATAGTTTTAACTTCTAACAATATGGTTTTTTAGTGATTTTTTGCATCAAATAAATCCCTGCGAGTATATAATAAGCTAAGCACAATTTGCAGTTGACAAAAGCTATTCCTTTCCATCGAAAATTTCTTACATAATAATAACGCACATGATTCAAGTAAATCGAACAAATATGGTGTGAACATTTATCCTATTAAATCAAAATAACGCAGGATCTGATCTGGCATTGCCCAACATGAAGCCAAAAGTTTGAAAAAGCATACATTAGCCACATAGAAGAAGCAGCAAAAACCTATAAAGCTGCATATCTTTACCAAACTAACATAATTAAAACACACTTAATGCCAAACCCTCCATTTTGTTTCACGCAGCAGAAAGAAAATTTCAGCAAAATTATTATTATTCAAGATTTCAAGATATTTTCTTTCTCGCATTGTCAGGGCAACCAATCCAATCACAGAAAGACAGAAGAAAACAAGGAAAAACCAACCTAGCATACTGAAGAGACCAGTAAAAGTACTGGCATATCTTCTCCAGAATAGTTGTGCTTATCTCCGGAAATGTAACTTCTCCTAGCTCCGTTTCAGCGAAACCCCCTGAAACAGATAAAAAATCGTTACGCACAAACCTCAAACCAACCAATTTCGTTGCGTTTAGAAGCATACATGGAATTGAAATTGATCATTAAACCAGTTGAAATTTCATGATAGTTTTCCAGCAATTTTAATGCTAAGGCATGAATTCCATGCACAAATTCCTATTTGAAGAAAATAATCTCAGATTGAGTTATGATACTTTAAAAAAAAAAAAAATCATTCTTTTTTTCAAAATTTTCTCGAGAAACAAAAGGGGCAGAACAGAAACCCTAAGTGATGGTGAAGGAAGAGGGGACCTGGAGAGGTAAGCATGTTTCGGATGGTCTGAGAAACCATGGCCGCCTTCTTGTCGATGACGAATTCGAAGCCCTCGGCGCTGATCAGCTTCACGGTGTCCTCCTTCTTCATGTTGCAGACGATTGGACGCGAAAATAGATTGAATCTCTGTGTGTGTGTATCTGTGTGAAAAAAGATACGCAGGACGTGATGATATAAAGAGAGATCGAAGGAGTTGCGATTCTCACTTGACAAATATGTCTACAACAGGACTTGAAAATCGATTTTTGGTTTGGTCGCTCCACTAGCTTTTCTATACAAGTGTCTCCACATCATTATTAACAATTTTTTAAAAAATACAAGTGTCTCCAGACTCTCCACTAGCTTTCCTTTACTAGTGTCTCCACATCATTATTAACATTTTTAAAAAAATATAAGTGTCTCCACATTATTATTATTATTATTATTTTGGACAAACAAACAACAAAAACAACCAAATAAACTAAGACTTCGTTTGGTGAAAAAGATAACATTAATTATGAGAGAAAATATAATAAATAATAACTATAATTTATATTCATATTTGGATGGATAGAATGAAAAAGAAAGAAATAGATAATATTTTTGTTCGGATAAAAAAAAAAAAAAAAAAAAAAAAAAAAGAAGATAATAATCAAATTACCATCTTATCATTTTATATCTAATTTAAATCAATAAAATATGTTGTTTTTAAATTCTACTTTTCTAGTACGTGCCCGCGTGCACGCGCATTATTATTAACATTTTTTTTAAAAATACAAGTATCTCCACATCATTATTAACCATATTTTTAAGATTTATTTATTTATTTTCTTTTATTTATTTGTGTGTGTGTGTGTGCACGCAAGCGCGCATTATTAACATTTTTTTTAAAGTACAAATGTCTCCACATCATTATTAACCATTTTTTCAAGATTTAGTTATTTATTTTTATTTATTTATTTGACAAACAAACAACAAAAACAACCAAATAAACTAACGCTTCGTTTGGAAGAAAGGATAACATTAGTTATGAAAGAAAAGAAAGAAAATGATAACTATAACTTATATTCATATTTGGATGAATACGATGAAAAAGAATAATAATCAAATTACTATCTTATCATTTTGTATCTAATTTAAATTAATCAAATAGTTTGTTTTTAAATTCTACTTTTCTAATATCCTTGTTTGAATAGATAATATTCTTGTTTGAATAAAATAGAGGAAAAAAAAGAAAACAAAAGAATAATAGTCAAATTACTATTTTATCATTTTGTATCTAATTTAAATTAATTAAATAGTTTGTTTTTAAATTCTACTTTTCTAATACGAGATGACCAAATTTGGAGTATAAGGCAGTGTTGGATTTTTTTTTAGCTGAACCAGTGTTGGTTCTTTGCTTTAAGCAAATGCGCCCAATACAGTGACCCCCACTCTGTCACATATATATTCAGCCACGATAATGCATTGTATTCACAACCATGCACTGTGTCACTATAATGTGGTGTTTGCAGTGTTCATAATCACACTATATATACACGTGTGTACTTATAGAGTTAACCTTCATTATTTGTCTGTGTGTGTCGTGATTTTTAGTCACCCAAAGCCAAACAAGTTTCATCTGTTTTCTTTATCTGAAAACTGTTTATATCTCTACTGATTTCACTCTTTGAAAATTGGGAATTCCCCAATTCAATTCGGATAAAAAAAATAGCATGGACTTGCAGATAACACAACATAACCAGAAATAAAAAACTGACCACTAAAGCATGGACTTACAGAATTATTCAAGCTAAGACCGTGTAGGGTTCTAATTCAACAGTTCGTGCAATGCTAACTGATATTCAATTACCAAAATTATACCACCTTTTCCATAAATAATACATTCCTTATGTGTAATTCCCATAAAACAAAATTTTCATGATACACCCATATTGTGTTATGTTATTAGGGCTTAAATGGAATAAAAATTTTGTGTACCCAATTTTGAAGGCTACTTTTTTTATAAAATTTTGCTTAAATGGATAGAAATTTTAAGTATTTGCTTTATATAATCTTAAACTCAATAATAGATAAATAGTAACAAAACTTTAAAAATATGAGTGATCATTTACTTTTAATGTTACATTTCCAACCCTTTATTCGTCTTCTCTAACCCCACCCTCAAAAATATCAAAAACCCAACCCTCAAAAATATCAAAACCTTCAAAAGTCATAATATTAATTTATTTTGTTCTTTATGATACTATTTAGTCAAAAATTTAAAAAATTACTATCAAAATTCACCTATTTATAATATATATTTCATTTTTATTCCATTTACTTTAACATCTTTTTTTTTTTTTTTTCATTCATTTATGTAAGAAGTTAAAAATTTTAAATGAGTATATAAAATTAAGTTACTTTGCTCACCATCACAACAAAATATAACCAAGGACTCTTGTAGCCTAATGATATTTTTTACCTTCCAAAGTGAGGTAAAAGTTCAACTTCTCAAAAAAAAAAATGAATGTATAAGTTTTTCGTCAAGAAAAATGTAAAAAATAAAAATAGAATCAAATTCTGATTCTGTAATAAGTTGATAATTATTAATAGGGAAAAAATCACATAACCCTCTTCTACTATTATTTTAGTTCAAAAAACACCCACTAAAATTTAAAACCCCACTCAACTAAAGAAATGCTATCAATTTATCATATACACGTGGCTAACCCGTTTATTAAGTTATGAAATGACAAAATTAACCTTATGATTTAATATTAAATTAAAAACTAATATTTATTATTATGAAATTATGAAAATACCTATATTCTTCTTTCTCTTCACTCTTTCTCTAGAACAGCTAAGTCTTTCTCACCCATCTGCACAGAAAAATGTAGTTGCTATTTGAATTAGCAAATCATATGCAAATTCCCTCTCATGGCGAAGGAGCTTTCTTGAGAACATTGCCCCATAAAATATATCTTGTCTTTCATTTTTAAGATGCATCACAAATAAACAACTCCTTTTAAATATTATCCTTAATGACTTGTAGAAGTGGCTGTAATTGTTAATTTGTTAGAGTTGAATAGAATGATTTAAAATTTGAATTGTAAGTAGTTAAGTACTGAATTTAAAGAATCAAATATAACGGATATCACCCTAATTTCAAATTTAAGTGATAAGCTCCATCCCAAATATTTTCCAGTACTTAAATTATATTTTTGAACAAATATATTTAGTTAGAGTAGCTCAAATTCAAATACACAATTCTAAATCCATAAGTTAATACGTTATAATTTCAAACAGGACACAGTTCAAGACCAGTGGGGGTGCCCCCATTGAATTTTTTCTAATATACATTATTACCTATAATTTTAATTAAATTTTTAAAAATGCCCCCACTCAATTTTTTCTAATATACATTACTACCCTTTTTTTTTCTTTTTTCTTTTTTTTTTTTTAACAGTTCGTCATTATTATCATCACTCTTACTTTTATTTGGTGTAAATAAGATCGGTCACATAAATTATCTTTTATATCATAAATCCTAATTTTCTTATAATTCAAACTAGTAATAAGAAAATGTTTTTAAAAGAATGTCATTTCTCTAATGACTTGTAGAAGTGGCTCTAATTGTTAATTTGTTAGAGTTGAATAGAATGATTTAAAATCTAAATTATAAGTACTTAAGTATTGAATTTAAAGAATCAATATAACGGTTATCACCCTTATTTCAAATATATTTAATTATAGAAGCTAAAATTCACAATTCTAAATCCATAACTTAATAAAGTATAATTTCAAGTAAATGCACTTTCATCACTCTTCAACTACATGGATCACACACATTATTTTTCACAAAGAAAATCTCATTTTTATGGTAAAGGGTGGGTTCTTGATTCTCTCTCCTGGCAGCCAGTCTGCCCACTGTCAGTGCCAACTCAGGGTTTGATACAGCAATTTGTCAACTTCCAAAAACGTCACCGTTCTTTTTATATAAAACAAATAAAGAATCTTCATTATTACCATTTTTTTTTTTTTTTTTTTTTTAAATTTATCATACTGTATTGTTTTTGTCTAAATTTCTTTTCTTTTATGAAATTATGGATAGCCAATACTACGTATATAAGAAGCCGTTTCAAAAAGAAAGTCTTCTCTTTGTTCATTTCTTCCCTCATTTTCACTGCAATTGACATTGCAGACACCAATTTCGTCCCAATACCTCCTGGTATCTCCTTAAACTATCCGCCTCTCTATTTTTTTTTTTTTTTTTGCATATATATATGCAAATGTATGTTATGGGTTTGTTTGGAATGTGATTAAATCCATGTGGGTATTGAATGGTTTTTAGATGTGGGTTTTGTTTGTGTTGAATTTGTAGGTGAGGCAGTGGAGAGAAGAAGAAGTTAAACAATGGCGAATAGGGTTGATCACGAGTACGACTATCTATTCAAGATTGTGTTGATTGGGGACTCTGGGGTTGGGAAATCCAACATTCTCTCCAGGTTTACCAGAAATGAGTTCTCCATGGAGTCCAAATCCAACATCGGTGTTGAGTTCGCTACCAGAACTCTCCAGGTGAATTGCCATTGATTTTCTTCCATTTTGTTTAATTTCAGTGTTAATTAAGGAGTTGGATAAAATTGTGGATGCTTTTGGTAGCTTAATTGTTTAACGATTAAATAATTTCTATTACTCCTTGCCTTTGTCAATCTATCATCCGTGATAAGTATGTAGTGTGTATATATATGTATGTTTGATGCCAATATGAAACTAAATCCTTTTAACGGTTTCATTTTTATTTCTGTAATTTGCATTGGATACTTCAAAGTATAGAATTTTGATGCTAAAGCCAAATATGATCAAACTTTTTGCCAACCATATAAAATAGTTGAAGTTTTGATGCTGAATGTCTAGAAGAAAATCTATTTCATGGCAGGTTGAGCCATGTAGGCGCCACAAGCGCTGATGAGTACTAAATGGGGTCTGCATGATATATGTGAATAATTGGGCCCTAGAGTCTACCACATTTGTGTTGAGAATATGGAGTAATGGAGGATTCTAAAACATTGGAGAGGTAGAAGTTGTAGATTGAAGAAGATTATAAAGATTAGAGAGTTTTGTAGATATACGTATGTGTAGAGATATTTAAGGGTAAAGGTTAGCCGTCCATCAGTGTGTAGGATGCCAATATATAGGTAGGAGGAGCTTATGGGTAAGAAGTTACGAGTGAATGAAAAGTCACTGAGATAGAAATTTTCAATTTGGATGAATATTCGTTGGGTTGTGGCATATTGATTGAATTCATTTATGTTTGGGTATTATGTTTGGATAAAAGGTGGATGACTAATTTATATAGAAGAGTTGTAATTGAGTTGAGAAATAGGGTTGAAGTACTCTGACTTGCTAGTACGTTTTACCTAAACCTTTGGCATGACACGTGTATAACCATACTTATTTTTGTTTCAACTTATATATATATATATATATATATATATATAGTTTTCTGATCAATTCATTATAGAATTAGCAATAACTCAATATTTATTTGTAATTTTTTTCATGTTTTTTACTTAATCTTTCAATTTGTTTCAATTCAACAACAAAAAATTAAATATTTTCTAATCAATTCAATTATAGAATTAACTACAACTCAGTTTTTAATTTTGCATCAGTACCTACAAAATTACATGTTTGTTAAACATGTCAATTATTGTAAAAAAAAAAAAAATGGATGAAATATTACTCACCCGATAATATTGAATTTTTTTCTCCATCGCTTCTAGTTCTCCTGCTCAAAGATTTGGAAGCTATTGGTATATTGCCTAAGGGTTATAAAATTGGTATAAGGTTATAAAAAAAATAAAAATAAAAAGGTCATGTTGAGTGGTCAAACGCTAGTACAAATTTCAACTACTAGTCAAAATGGAAGATTATGAAGTTCACGCCTTGCATGGTTTTGCTAATTTTGAAGTTTTTTTTTTTTCCCTGAATAATTTTGAGGTTTCATTTTCTTTGTGACATTCTAAGGTTTAAACTCTAAACTAGGAGAATCCGAATTTTTTTGTGTTTCATGTTTTATTCGTCATAAATTACTAGAGGTAAAGATCAATTTGGATGAATATTCGTTGGATTGTGGCATGTTGATTAGATATTACCATGTTTGGGTAAATGATGTTGGTTGTATTATGCGAAATAGTGAAGTTTTGGATACGATGACTCGTTATATGGGAGAGTTGGAATTAAGTTAATGTCACTTCAAAATGTTGATTGAGAATATCAACAGGTAATATTGTGGGGATGTTTCACTATATATATGCAACAATATATTTTAAAAAATAATAATAATAAAAAAAATTGTGTCATAACTAACAATGAACCATATTAACTTGGTGTTTGTAGCCAATAAATTAATACTGCCTCCACTTACGTACCCTTTGGGTAGACCAAGTTTGTACCAGCTAGGCTATTGCCCATTTGGTAATAATAATTTAGACTTCCACTCTACTTCTTTACGCATTTTGGAAAGATTTTATGTTAATTGAATAGGCCATAAGATTTTTGGCAACCTGCACATTTCATAATTGGAACAAACTGATTTACTAAAAAAAAAAAAAAAAAAAATCCAGTAATCTTACAAAATCCTCTGATGCAGGTAGATGGAAAAACAGTGAAGGCACAGATTTGGGATACTAGTGCTTACTATAGGGGAGCTGTTGGTGCACTCCTTGTCTATGACATAACAAAGGGACAAACCTTTGACAATGTCCAGAGGTGGCTCCGAGAATTGAGGGACCATGCGGACTCTAACATTGTCATCATGATGGCTGGAAACAAGTCTGATCTAAACCATCTCAGAGCCGTCCCAGATCAGGATGGTCTGGCCTTGGCTGAGAAGGAAGGGCTTTCATTTCTTGAGACATCAGCATTGGAAGCTTTCAACATTGACAAGGCATTCCAAACCATTTTGACACAGATATACCATATCATGAGCAAGAAAGCATTGGCAGCCCAGGAAGCTGCCACCACCACTGTACTTCCTGGTCAAGGGACGACTATCAATGTTGGTGATGCATCAGGCAATACAAAGAAAACAGGCTGCTGTTCAACTTAAGTTGACATCGGCAGAGGAAATATGATTTGGTAGCAGACATGTAGACTTGTAGAATATTTTCCTCTTCGAGTTGTTATGTGAAGCAAGCTAGTGAAAATTAAAACAAGAGTATGGTTATCGGCTAGCCGGATCTGCACCCTTTGTATGGTACATTTTTAGTTGTGACCGTAGTGGAAATGACTGATACTGTGTGATTTTATGAAACATTGTAACTTGTGTGGTGCTTTATAATTGTGTCATCGGATTACTCCCCAATTAGTAATAAAAACTCAATTATCCATTTGACACTACTAATCCTGAATTTATCTGCCATATGCCCCCACATTCCTTGAAATGTTTGCTTTGAGATTATTGAATCATAGGGTTTGCCAAGATAGTTTTTCTCTCAAGTAGAGATCATTCATCCCATAGTTGCAAGCCAAAGAAGGCAGAAAAGAAAAGTCTGGTTTGCCAATATAGGCTGAAATCACCCGCGAACCTGACCAGAAAAGAACTGGCCTTCGGAAAAATACATCACAAGTTCGACATTTTGCACTACTAACTTCTCAGAGCTGAATAGATGATAGGAGTAAACGCATTCATCAACTTAGAAGTACCAAAAGATTCTATAATCGCGAATGGCCTTACATGAAAGCCAACAGAGTGGCTGACAAGGAGTTTAAAGAGTAGAGCGGTTCAATCTTCCTAATATTAACACGTAGGGCATACATACAGAGAATTCAACAGGAATGCCGGATAAACTAGGCAGGTTAAACGAAAACAAATCGAACTACATGCACCATTATATCACACTAAATGAAGAGGATGTGAGAGGCTCTGCATTCTGATATTTCCTCTTTAGTTCACTTGGTTCATACCCAAAAAGAAAAAAAAATTATAGAGATGAAAGACAACAAAATGAACTACACTATCTGCAACAGAAGGGGGGAAAACTACTACAATTTATACATTTATCCTTGTTCAATCTGTACAGTTACATGATGAATTTTGTGATTTTTTTCGCAGTAATTCCTGATATTGTGGAGAATTTCGTTTGAATTGACTTCAGGTTTGGCCATTATATGGCAAACCAGTACAATTTTCCCGACCGTTATCGCCCAAACATGCAAGTCCTGAACATCATGAACTCCATCAATACATTTCAGACCATTTTCAAGACTAGCAATATCAATGTCATTTGGTGTCCTCTCCATCAATATAGAATATATATTTTTAAGCATGGGTAGAGTAGTACTTAGAGAAAAAACAGAGAAGATGAAAGTGCAGACCAGATCTACCACCAACCAATCTGGTCTTGCCCATATGATGGTTCCAGCAATCATCACCCCTACAGATTGAATAAGATCAGCTATAACATGCAGGTAAGCCCCTTGGAGATTTATGTTTAATGATTTGCTCATCTTTGGGGAGCCTGACAACAGATTATCACCTTCTTCGATCGTAGCACACAATTCCTCCCTTTCATGATCATGATCATGATCATGATCTTTCTCCATACGGGCGTGACCAGAATGGTCATGACCAAGCCAGAAAACCATGACAAGATTAATCACGAAACCAAATACAGCAATTGCAAACATGAGCCCCCCATTCACTTTCGCATTTTTGTTAAAAATTCTGTCAACTGCTTCATAAATTAAGATCCCAGAAGTGAGCCAAATTAGCTGCACAGATACAAGGGCCCCCAAAACTTCAAGACGGTTGAATCCAAAAGACTCGCGTGATGTTGCCTCCCAACTGGAAGCCCATATGGCAAAAAGCGAAATGGAAAATCCGGCAATGTCAGAGAACAAGTGGGCTGCATCTGTAAGAACTGCAAGGCTGTTGGCTTTCACACCACCACCAATCTCTACAGCCATGAATATTACATAACAAGTTATAAGCCCACATAGTTTTGCTGCCGACTTTGATCGTTGTTCTGAATCTGATACATCAGATTCTTTCTTAGAGAATACACAAACAGTATTGCAAGACAATTGCAGTGGCACAGGAACACCATTAATTACTCCAGAGGCCTTTGGCATCTCAACTTCTAGCCTATCCTCTGTTCTCAAAATGGAGAACTCTTGATGTTCCATCTGTTTAGATTAATTAGTTGCTCCAAGTCAAATTTGACAAAGAAATTAAGTAAAACTATAAAAGGAGATTAAAACTAATTATGATTGTGTGATTGGCTTTCAATACTAGCATTCACCAAACCGAATTCATTAAAATGAACTATAAACAATTGTGCATGTAGATTACCAAAGAAAAATATGCATTTTTTTTTTCATTAAGAGAAATATCTCACACTCACATGATCATAAATAGGATAAGAAGATAAATGTCTTTCTATGAAGAACTTAAAAATTGGTGCCCTCAGCTCATGCTTAAAAGATCCAACTTGTTTGCTTAGATCAACTTAAACACAAAAATGAAACAAAAATTCAGCAGGTCAGAGTTAATGACCGATACGGCTCTCCAGATACAGCAACTTCAGGGCGACGGCTCATCAAACCGGTAGACGAACAACAGTTTGAGAATATAGAAGTTTTGACATAAGGGGAAAATTAAATGATGACGAGATGTAAGGAGAACAAAATGAATTATATCTCATCGAGCAGTCATGTTTTTCACTAGAAAACAGCCAAAGCTGTGATATTAGAAATATTGAATAAAGAAGCGGTTGCTGCAGTATGAGGGGGGTGATAGGAAAACCATAATAAGAATTGGAATTCAACTTTGTGAGATTGTGTAGGCAAAGATTCCAAATTTTACCTTTTCTCTCCTTTGTTTATATTTTTTCATCTTCTTTATGTGTGTAGATAGAAATTTATTTCTCCTTTCCAGTAAAATCTAGTCCAACCTTTGAAGGGTTCAAGAACAAGTGGATTTCTTTTACTGATTAGAGAACAATAAAGTTTTTACCATAGATCCAAGACCATTTCTTATATCATCTCCAAGATAAAGGGAACTAACTCAATTCAACACAACAAAGCCTTATGTTCAACAATGAGGTTGGCTGTATAGAAGTTGCTTCATTATTCAGCTATACCAAGGACCATCTACGCTACCAATTCACCAAAGTCTTTTCTCACATCATCAGCATTCCATTTGACCTTCCTATTTTCCTTGTAGTGCCTCCAACTTGAATCAATCACTGCAATACTGCCATGATAAATTGGTCTTTGTTGATTATGATCAAACCACTTTACACATTAAATTGGCCCTGATAGCTTCACCTCTAGCTTCTCACAAACATAATCCTTCTTATTCTATCTTTTCTTCTATTAGCATAGAAAAAAATAAATAGCCATCCTATTTTGTACCATAGAGTACGGCTGGCCTAGTAGCCATCCTAAAACTGTTCCTTTAATTACATAGGTTACGTATGTATAAGGTAGTCACACAACAATCCAAACGATTCTTGGATTCACGTCTGTAAAGAGTAAAACTAAAGGTTGTGCTCCAGCTGCTACCTACCCAAGTTTAATGTAATAGATCTTTTCGATTAACAAAGTTCTTTAGACAAGGGCTGTGTTGAATTGAGTTAATTATAAGACCCTAAAAGCATTTCCATCTATTCCAATTCCATGAGCAAAGCGTTTTTCAAACCACCTTCCCTTAACCCAAGAATCCTACAATCAAGCACAATCATTTTAATTTTTACTTTACAAAATCATGACAACCGAACATTAAGACGGATGGGTGGAGTGAATAGAAGAGATTGGGTCACTAAGGAAAGTGTGGGAGAAAAACTAGGTGCAGCACCCAATGGTAAGGAAATTCCAGAGAGTAGACTTACATGTTTTGGAAATATATATCCGAGACCTAACGACGCACGGTCAAAAATAACATTCATGTGTGATTAAGGCAAGAATGATGACGATAATGAAAATCACGACAACCATATATTAATTTATTTTCCTACATATTTGAAAGCTCCTCAGTAGCTTAAAAAACTAGGAGTCAGAGAACTCAAATACCAGTTCAACCCACCTGGTCTACCCAGACTTGGAGTAACTGGGGAGGTCCTAACTGGGTACCTAGAAGCATAAATTCATGATGAAGATCTTATAAAAATTTGGATTTTGGATTAATTTCAAGAACTACGCATACAAATTCGAAAAGCTTAAACGAAAATGTACATAAAAAACAATAAACAAGAATAACAATCGTCATCAAACTATGGGAATATAGCATTAACATAAACATTTCATTTATAATCTTCAAACATAAATCAAAGAAAAAAAAAAAAAAAACACGATTACCCAGGTCTTCAATATAACAATGGAATTGGTGGGTTTATTCATTACCTGAATATCAGATGAAACAGAGAAGTTGAAATGGTGCCCTAGCTTTCTGCAGAGAGAGAATTTGTGGGGTTTTTGATTCGGTGACAGATCAAATCAAGAGTGATTGTCTCCATATAGTCTCTATCCATGGTAATCACAGTTTTCATAAAACCATTTTTTTATTATTTTGGGAAAGTTTTTTCATAAAGCCGACATAAATGTCAACTCTCTATTTTTAATTCTTATTCTTATTTCAATTCCAATTCCTATTTTTATTTTGTTCAGAAGGAAAGAATCCAAAAAGGCAAGGAAGTAAATTAAAGCCGAGCACTAGCTTTGTAGTTTCCGAATATTATTAAGTTTTCAATCTCCTTTTCCTACGAGCAAACAAATGAATAATTCCACAATTGGGAATCAGAACGTTGGGCCCCCAATTCGGTATTTGGCTGTATTTTAGAAAGAAAATAAAAAATGTTGATTTTGTATTAAGTAAAACAATTGTGTATGTAGAAAGAAAAATATATATATATTGATTTGCTACCTAGCCTATTGGTTAAAAGAATGGTTCATTTCGTATTTTTTACTCCGTATTAATTTGGTGAGAAAATTCAGACAATTATTTGAATGAAAAAAACATTTTAAATTTATTTAAATAATTAGAATAGAGTTCAAATTTTTAAATATAAGAACAAGAAAAAATAAATAAATAGGAATCTGAAACCCTATTTCATTTAAGATTTTATCGTATTAATAGGTAATTAGATTTAAAGTAAATGACATCGATGCTTAATTTTGTATGAGTTCTACCTCTTAACTAGGAGGTGGTAAATTATTTAATAATTAAAGTGATTTTTTTTTTCTTTTAATGGCATGTAACTCATGTTCAGATTTGAAAAACTTTTAAAAACTTCTTTATTGCATAAGTTTTTTAGTGGGCCTATTTAATTTTATTTTAATTGCCTATTTATTTTTATTGGACCTGTTTTTGCTGGCCTATTAATTCTATTTAATTTGCCCATCACAAGTCCTTGGTTTGTGCCCATATATATATATATATATATATATATATAGATATAGATATAATTTAATTCTTTCACTTCTTTCACATATTTACATGTTTTATGGGTGATTGTTACTAGTTAGCCTCTTTTTCTTTTTTCTTTTTTTCTTTTTTTCAAAAGGTTTGTCACACAATCTTTCTATGAATGTTCTTATTTGGGACCAGATGAAGATTTGTTACTAGTTAGGTTTTGTTTTTTTTTTTTTTGTTTTTTTTTTTTTTTTTCTCGGAAAGGTTTGTTACACAATCTTTTTATGAATACTCTTATTGGGGACATTAGCTGAGAGCTTAGGGTTCTATTTTAGAGACTTTGTAGTTCGATAATACGTTGGAAGGCTACAAAGATTTTAGAACAACTTGCTTGCACATCTCTCCTATCAAGCCAAAATCTTTTTTTCACGATCTTTTTTTCCACTATTTTTATTATATGTTTGTTTGTTACTTTATTTCTATGCTGTTTACTATTAAATCAGCATGGTGAAAAAATAAAATAAAATAAAATAAGTATTAAATCAGCATACACATCTTGTATTATTTGTAAACTTATAGTAATATTTGTTGTAATTTTCTATTTCCATCTCAATAAGCAAAGATGTTTAAAAATGTAAAATTATGAAGTCATATAAAATATCCGAAACAATTCACACATCTTTTTGATCCCTCGAATTTTCACATTTCGGGTGGAGAAAAAAACACTAAACTGTCTCATTTGGTAGAATAATTAAGTTGATAGTATACTTGAATAAAGGGGCAAGTGCAGAAAACACTCTTAGAAGTATACTTTTTATAGTTTTTTTATCCCTTATTTGAAAAAGCGTGCAATAAACATTCCTAATCTTTTGAAATTGTGCAAAATTACCCCTCTGTCAAAAATCTGACATAAATTAGTGTTGTAATACCTATTTTACCCTTTTATTCTTCCGAAAATGTCCAAAGAGGTATATATGCTACTAATCTAATACTATAAGGGTGTTTTGTGCACATTACCTTATATATAGAATTTGTGTTCGTATTCAAAGTCTAATGGAGTTCAATAATCAATATTATGATTAATGAATTGGGATTAATGATAACTTAAACTACCAGTAAGATTGGTCTCTGGGCAAAAGATTGCTTTCTATGTATATAATCTAACACTTGAACAATTTGAGAATTATTGATTGAACAAATTTGTAAGGTGAATTAAAAAAAATGGAAAATGATTTGTAAGGAATCCGCGTCAATCAAAAAAGGTAATTCAGATGATATGGTTTATCTTCTCTCTCCTCTGTCTTTCTCTCTCTAACTGTGCCTTCAAGAAACTGGGTTTAGTAAGCAAAGTATTTTGTTTGGTAAAAATACAATCCTATAAGAACTAAACAATTTACTCTATTTGGTTAGCAAGAAAAAAGATAATTCAGGTTTTTTTAAACTTTGTCACCGAGGTTGTCTTTGCCACTGCCACAACTCCGTCATTGAAGCTCAGTTTGCATAGTCTCTAAAACTAGAACACCACTTCTTGAGAGTCCCCTTTAAGCACTACAAGAAATCAATTCACGCAACCACCGCACTGTAAACAAGGAGATGTCAGTTATAATCTCCTGAAGATTTGTCTCCAAATGACTACGTGCAGCACCTTAATTTACTTATTTCCAGATTGCAAGTTCTCAAGAGGAAGGTATATGTTACAGAAGCCCCTAAGCGGCTAAGCCTATATTTGATTGCTGAGAAAATGAATGAAAAATAGAATTTCTAATCTAACATCCGTTTTCTTGAAACATGAAGTGAACTCAGAGTTCTAATTAAGAGAGCAAAGTAAGAGAATTTAGGATTCTGAGATAGGTAGATGGTCACCGAAGAACCATGCAAGACTTGGAGCTTGCGGTTGTATCGCTAAAAAGTTAGGTCTCACCGGAGCTTTTGTCGGATTTCATAAATGTCTAAACAATTTTCTCTGGTTTGGTTTTGGGTCATTGTTTTAAGCCGTCGTTGGAACAATTGAACTGTGCAGCTTCTTCGTGGACATCATCTTTCAAGCTTGGTTGATCTCTGTAATGAAACTCTCTGTTGGTTGTTATTGCTCAATGCTTCTCGTCGGTGATCATGGTGATTGCCGGACTGAAGACGAAATGTTACGTGAGATGGGCAAAAAAACAATGTCTCAAGAAGTATATCTTTTTTGGTCATTTCACAAAATAATATACTTTTATATATTTTATAAATTGCCTTGGTAAGGGTATTTTAGTCTAATTTTATCTTAAATTTGTAAGTAGGATCTGTTTGCACAAATTTCATACTTTAGGGGTATTTTTTACACTCTAGGGGTGTGATATGCACTATAAACATATTGTCCTTTTACATTACACTTCTTATCATTATAAAACACCCTAAAATATACTAAGACTTTTATCCCGTATTGTAAAAAGTATGTTATTAACTTCTTATTCTTCAAAAATCGAGCGAAAACATCCCTCGAATTATTTTTTTTTTTTTTTGTAGAAATCTAACGTCAAAGTGACACTGCAATGCCCATATTGCCCCTTATTCTTTCAAAAATGCCCAAATAGGAGTGCTGGCTAATAAATTTATAGAAAAAGGGTGTTATGTGCACATTAATTATATTTAACTTACTTTTAAAGATTTTTACTCACATTTCCAACAAAAATAATAATAAAAAATTCTCTCTTTATATTTTCCCTAATAAGTGTATTATCTCTCTATATTATCTTATCTAAGTTGAGAGTTTTACATTTTCTATGATTTAATGCTACTCATAAGTTAAAAAGTTCTATTATATGTATTTCTCTTACTGTTCAAATGGAGATAAAATAAAATAAAAATTGTTTTCACAATTGTCAAATTAATATACAGTATAGCATATGAAACGAAAATCTCAAGGTTTTTATAATTATAAAAAAAGAAAAAAAAAAACTCAATTAAAATTTAATATAGTTATTTTTTTCATTAAATATATAATTAAAATTTAAAATTAAAGATACTTATTCATTATGTATATATAAATAATACATATAATTTTTTAAACTTTAGAATTTGCAATATATTTTTACATATATAGATATATAATTCTTTACATAGCAACAGATGGGTGTTCAATATTTTAAATAAATAAATAAAATAAATAAATAAAAAAAGACATGATCTTTCAAGATCAAAAGATTAAAAATAACAATAGTTTTTAGGACAATGTACAGAAAACACCTTTATAATATTGCATATTGTGCATATCATACCCATGTGCCAAACAATGTCATTTCACTTTGTATTCATTTTTGTTATTTCACAAAAATAATATTTTTATAAATAATATATAAATGTGCGTATAAAAACGGTAGTTTAGACAAACTCTAACTTATTATTTGCGCAATGTGATATTGTAGGGTGTCACAATCGACTTGCCTACTGAAATGATCTGTATCATACAACATATTGGAATAGTTTACTTTCTCTTGTAGGCTGTGACATAATTGTTTGTTCACGAAAATGGAAAACTCAAATTTTTTTTCTTTTTTTTATGTGCTAGCAATTGTCTCTCCCAAATAGTCTTATTATGTTAAGGTTTGAATTAAATTATTCATCTTCCTCTAACTAGCACATCTTCTTTTTATTATTTCGAGTTGGGACGTGGGAATATGTTGGTGGCCTGGTAGGAAGTTTTTTTTTTTTTTCCTGTCCCGTGAAGTATTTGCAAAAATATTAATTTCAATTGAAATGATGTGATTCTCATGCATTTGCAAAAATATTAATTATTTTTTGGAATTGAATTTTTTTTAACTCATTTAAATTACATTTTTTTTTTCAAATTTTTTTTGAAATTGAAATCAACTAATTTGGGATACCTTAAAATGGAATAGTGGACAACAATTAATATCGCACAGAGGGATTTAACCGCTAGCTGACATTAATTACGATTACGAAACTTTCTGTGCAGCCGCCCAAGGTAGGAATTAAACATTTTCACTTAAATATAAAATTTAATTTATGTATAAATATATGAATTTTTTTATTTAGATTATCATGATATATAACTAGATGTCATATTTGTAATGTTTTAATCCTCTGAAAAATCAGAATCCATTTTTCAATATCCACATAATAGTCCAGAGTATTAATTGAAAGCCATGCCACTAACGGATTCTAAGGCCGGAGTGATTGGCACATATGCAGTACTCAATTGATTAAATTATGATCATTATCC